GCCAACCATTCAACACCGGCGCACCATGGGCAAATCTATCAACGCAAAGGCATCCTCGGCGATGACAAAAAAGTCGGGCGTGTCTAAGATGAAAACGACCTCTGTGGCTAAAAAGTCCGTCAAGAAACGAGTTGAAATTGACCTACAACAGCCTAAAGACAGGGATCCCATCGGTTCCAAGATGGTGTCTGAAACCCAGACTGAAGAGAAGCGTGTTACCGATGACAATGAAGCGCAACGCATGGCTGATGAGATTGAGGCGAAACGAATCGCCGAACGAGAAGCTCTCAGGAGTGGGCATTATGACAGCATTGTTCCAAACCTGTCGGAGTGGTGGATGAAGAATTTATATTCAGGAGATGCTGTCGACGAAGCATTGGAACGCCATGACCGTATCCATACGGGTAACGCGCTTTTTATTGCATGGGAAGAACGTTTTCCGGGCGTCTGGAACCAACCTTGCCTCCGGTATGACAATCCGTTTAACAATAATACAGGGACAGCAACTTGTGAAGATCGTTTTTCACATTGATGAATTCGGATAATAGTCAATTGACAAAGTACCTCATTGCCGCATTTGACACTGAAACGATGGAAGTGAATCCGTCTGAAGAAATCTGGTCTTTACGCATCTTGGCCATTCGTATTTCTTTACAAAATCCGTTTTCCTTTTTCGGTATTGATGAGTTTGAGGGCAAACCGGACGACAACCATTTCTTTTCAGGCAAACTGGCCAATCCACGTCTACGCTTGGAGCATCCCTTGGTGGGCTTTTGGTTAATCAAACAAACAAGAAGTGGCAAGTCTATCAACAAAGCTCGAAACCAAGAATCAGTGAAGGAACCAGATCCGCCTCGTATTCAAAAAACATACGATCCAATGTATTCTATTGACGAACCAGGCACGGATGTTCAACGCGATTCCACCAGCCCCAAAGGGGACCAGGTGCAAAACTCAAATCGCTTTGCACCTCTACAAAGTGACGATGACTCTTTCGACGGTAGTGGAATTCAAGAATTCGACGAGGTTGAAGTGGTGGCGGTGAAAAAGAATTACTCCAAGGCGCCTGAGTCGTCGGATGAAGATGAAGACACTGATGCTGATGACACTGACGACAGGGAGAACATTGTGGACGACGCAATGGAGGAAGACAATGATGATGAACGGGTCAATACCGCTGGGGCTAACCCGCACCATGAGGCCATGGACCACAACACTCCACCGTTGACTTCTCCTAAACTTACGGCAACACAAGACTCAGCAGGTACAGGGACCCTTATAGAGCCCTCGGAAACAACTCCTTCTCGCGTTCAACGTCCCCCAACACTGGCCGAACGGATCTCGAACCTCATTCAGGTGAACATGGAAGGGGTACCAGGCAAATGTCACATCTTTGAGACTACTTTCTCTGTGGACTATCAAGGGTCGGATTCAGGAACTGTGGCGGGGGCGCTCTTGTTGACAGTTCTGAATTCTATGGAGGAAGCCATCAACAATTCCCCTAATGAATTGAAGCTTCTTCCGATCTCTGATACCACATATAAGCAACCAAATCTTTGGATTCGAAACTCAGTAGATTTACGTAAT